ATTGTGTATGTTTGGGTAGAGGGGTGTGTAACATGTAGTGTATTTCTTCTTGTAATAAGTTCGTCCTTACCATCTTTTCAGGTGAGTCTATTGTGTATGTTTGGGTAGAGGATACACTACATGTTACACAACTTTTTCTAGTAATAAGTTCGTCCTTACCATATTTTCAGGTGAGTCCATTGTGTATGTTTGGGTAGAGGATACACTACACGTTACACACCTTCTTCTTGTAATAAGTTCGTCCTTACCATCTTTTTAGGTGAGTCCATTGTGTATGCTTGGGTAGCGTTTAAAACGATTATCATTTTCTATAGCCAGCCAGTTGTCACGAGGTAATAACATCACAAAATCAGGAGGAGACATATCACCATAACAACGTGTAACAAGGATTTTTATTTATTTACATTTTTTGGTATTGTATCTGTTCCTAACGCACTGACTGATAATCACCAGTGATAAAGGTTATTTCAAAGTTGTCGAAAGAAGAGGAGTTTAGAGGTTTCGTGCAAGATTGTCACACTCCAATGTGCGCCTACATCAAATAATTAGTTTTTGTTGTTTAAAAGTTGTTTGAACAAGAAAATACTTTCGAACATGATGTTTACTCGCTTTTTGTTCAAAGAATTTTTCTTCTCGAAGTTTTCATTACGAAGGCGTAAGTTCCTTAGAAATATAATAAAATATCGTAACTCGCGTGACAATCGGGTCTTTGCTTAATATGGAAATTTTGATATTGACTTCACTGCACATTTCTGCTTTGCTTTCTACCTCCACTACAAGCTCTTGGTACACCACGTGTTTACACAGTGCAAACAAAACCTAAACCCACAGTTTAGTTTATTTATCTTCTACTCGTTACATCCTGTAGTGAAAGTTAAAAAGTTGATAATATTCTTTTTAATTCCAGTTTATAATTCATAGCATTAAGCGGCTTATGTTTTTACACACATGGATTCTAGTTAGATGAAGGGTTGGGATTCATGGTTCGCGACCCTTTACAGCAAAACGCAACTTTGGAGCCGAAGGTGCGCTATAAGAATTATTTCCCTCAAACAAGAGTAGCTCAAGAGTTTGTCGTAGGAGCTGTTGATTTCCTGCCATCTGTCAGATCAAGAGTTTGTTGTTGGAGCTGTTGAGTTCCTGTCATCTGTCAGATCAAGAGTAGCTCAAGAGTTTGTTGTAGGAGCTATTGATTTCCTGTCATCTGTCAGATCAAGAGTAGCTCAAGAGTTTGTTGTAGGAGCTGTTGATTTCCTGTCATCTGTCAGATCAAGAATAGCTCTAGAGTTTGTTGTAGAAGCTGTTAATTTCCTGCCATCTGTCA